TCATGCATCATATTTAGGCATTTGCAAAAATAGATGCATTTTCATTCATTTTTATTCTTGTTGAATTTTTAACAGGAATTTCAAAGATTTTAGCAAAGATTCAAATCTATCATTTGAGATGGATTGACATTTCAAGAGAAGGTTCATAATGAGAAGAACTCATCTGAAGAAGGAAGAAGAAATTCATAATGAGAAGAATTTGTTCAACCTTTGCCTAATTCTATCACTTGATGGATCAGCTTTTCCAGAGAAGGTTCATAATGAGAAGAACTCATCTAAGAAGGAAGAAGAAATTCATAATGAGAAGAATTTGTTCAACCTGTTACCTGAATTCATCACTTGATGGATTATCTTTTCCAAGAGAAGGTTCATAATGAGAAGAACTCATCTGAAGAAGGAAGAAGAATGAGAAGAATTTGTTCAACCTTCTGCCTAATTCTATCACTTGATGGATCAGCTTTTCCAGAGAAGGTTCATAATGAGAAGAACTCATCTGAAGAAGGAAGAAGAAGTTCATAATGAGAAGAATTTGTTCAACCTTTTTCCTGAATTCATCAAATTGATGGATTATCTTTTCCAGAGAAGGTTCATAATGAGAAGAACTCATCTGAAGAAGGAAGAAGAAGTTCATAATGAGAAGAATTTGTTCAACCTTTTTCTGAATTCATCAAATTGATGGATTATCTTTTCCAGAGAAGGTTCATAATGAGAAGAACTCATCTGAAGAAGGAAGAAGAAGTTCATAATGAGAAGAACTTGTTCAATCTTTTGCTTGAATTCATCATTTGATGGATCAACATTGCCAGGTAGAGTTCATAATGAGAAGAACTCGTCATCTGAAGAAGGAAGAAGAAGTTCATAATGAGAAGACTTGTTCAATCTTTTGCTTGAATTCATCATTTGATGGATCATCATCCCCAGCAGAAAGTTCATAATGAGAAGAACTCATCTGAAGAAAGAGAAGAATTTATTCAATATCTCCATTATAATCAAGTGAAGCCAAATGGATAAAAAAATTTATTATCTTTTCATCTTTGCCCTATTCTTGTTAACACAAGAATGAGCAAAGAGGGGCAGCTGAAGATACTAATTTTTTACCCACATTACTATTATTATTATTATTATTATTATTATTATTATTATTATTATCATTATTATTATTATTATTAAATATATATTAACTAAATATATATAAATAAATAATTACAGACCAATTACAACTGGACCGGCCCAGTTACAAACAAACCAGAACCGGTCCAGATCAAACCAGAAACCCTAAACATTTGGGGTTCCAGTTAGGGTTTTCTAACCCTAATCTAGTCGGCCGCCTCATCACAGCCGTTGGATCTGAGAGATCCAACGGTCCAGATTGCTCCAGATGAAAACCCTAGGGTCTGATACCCTAGGGACACGCAGCCGCTGCTGCTATCTCGCCGCCTCCGCCGCTGCCACGCCAGGCTCCGTCCAACGCCAGCCCACGCCATGGCTACGGGGTGAGTCACCACTGGTAGTCCGGTGACTCACCGAGACCCCCTCTTCGGACCAGTCCGATGGCCACACCGGTGGTGGCTATAAAAACCACCACCCCAACCTGAAAAAAAAAACAGAGACAGAGACAGAAAAAAAAAACAGAGATAGACGAGGAAACAGGAGATCGAGAGAGATACAAAGAAACTAGATACTAAAAACTACCAACGATCTCAACAACCATTCAGCAAAGAAACAGAAAAGAAAGGAAAAGGAAGGAAAGAAACTTACCGAGGAAGCCTCGACCACCGGATCTCGTCAGAACCTTCGAAATACCGAAGGTATTTTTGTAGATTCGCTCCGATTAGGAGCTTTTTAAGGGAAAAGAACACGATCTATCTATTAGTGTGAAAATAAATTTTTCCGGCCACCAAATGCGGTGGCCGGCGGTGACATTCACGGCGGCACACGGTTGCCGTCCGGTGACCAGCTTCCCTCCGATGAGGGAAGCTAGAGAGAGTTTTAAAACTCTCTCAGTTTAGAGAGAGAGAGTGAAATGAGAAATGAGATAGCTGGCCCTTCGGGCCAGCCGTTTTGGGCATAAATAGCCCTTCCCAAACGACGCCGTTTTGGGGAGGGCTATTCGTGTAATTAAACAATAGTTAAACCTCGTCCGCAGTCCTCCGAACTTGTAAACTTTACATTTTAGTCACTAAATTGAATTTATAATATTTTTAATTCAGTCTTCGAATTTTAATTTCTTTTATTTTAATCCTTTATATTAAAATAATATATTTAGGATAAATAACAGATTTAATCCCTTAATTTTAATAAATAATATTTTAATCCTTAGTTTATATTTTTAATTTATTTTATTCTAATATCCGAATTTTAGATAATTTTATTTTAGTCATTAAATAAATAAAATAAAGAAATAGCATGTTTAATCCCTATAATTTTGATTAATTATAAATTAGATTTTTAAATTTTATTTTTACTATAATTTAGTCATTTATTTTATATGTTTTCATTTATTTTACTGCTTTTAAAATATATTATTTTAGTGGTATTTTTATTTTATTTGTTTATATATTTATGTATTCATAAATATATATATAATAAATAGTAATTTTTAAATATTTATTTTTAATATCGAAGAAAAGGACAGTCTTAATACAACTGGATGTCCTATTCTGATATTTTAAAATTAAAAATTAAACAATATTATTTAAATTAATATTTATCAATATCAAAGAAAAGAGCTGTCTTAAGGCACCTAGAAGTTCTTTTCTGATATTTTTTAAATAAATAAATATTTTTATATAATTTTGAAATAATAGGATTATAAACTAAATATATTTTTGAATTTTTAAATTTTAACAATAGAGACAATTTATAATTAAAAAGTATCAATTTTGGGCGTTGTAGGGGTGCTAATCCTTCCCTAAACGTAATCGACCACGAATCCCTTTTTATTATTAAAAAGAATGAATTTTTGGTTATAAACGCAGATCAGATTATTTTTTTTAATTGATGTTTTCTTAAAATTCTTTTTAAAAAAATAATAATTTTTAGGTATTCGACCTACCTGATCCAAAAGGCCGATGGCGACTCCCAAATTATTTTCAAAACTATTTATTCACATCAATTTCCCCGCCAAGTATAATATTTCGTGCCCGGAACGAAAACCGGTTACGACAGAGTCGTTAGTCAATGATAAAAAAAACTTTTGTTAAAAGGTCGCATTAAATTATTCCTCACAATTTACAACTGCTAATTTCAAAACAGTACCAGCAAATCATTTGTCCACTTTATCACTATGTCCTTTGCCAGAAAGTTCTATATTACGTCACTTTAATATAAGGTTAAAATAAGACGTTATCAGTTTTGTTATTGTTTAAATAATAAAATCGATAAAAAGTTATTTAAAATATCATTTTTTTTATTATCTAAAACACTAATTTTTTATAAAAAATTTCCGGTAAATATGCCCAACAATAACAAATAGCACATAATAATATTTCTGGTCATTTTTACCAAATCTGGTAAAACACCCGATAATAACAAAACCAGTAGCGCCTAATAATATTTTCGGTCATTTTTTACAGATTTTATTATTTAGACAATAACAAAATAGGTAACACCTTATTTTAGTCTTATAATAAGACAGTCGCACGTGAGTATTTCCCGTTTGCCACTTGCCATGTCATTTTTCCAGTCCATTGGTCCATTTAAAATTTAATTATAATTAATAGTATAAAATATAATGTTAGTCACTATACTTTAATTTATGAATTAAGTTTATCATTAAACTTTAAAAGTTTTCAATTTTACCACTTAACTTTTCACATTATTTTTTCTGCATTAATAACACTTTAAATTATTTTTTCTGCATTAATGACACTTTGTTCGATCACATGTTGACATGTAAGTCAAAAAATAATTTTATTATCTTCTTATTTTATTAGTTAAAATTTAAAAATAATCAAATTTTGAATTAACATCGTTATTTTTTGATATTTTTGCGGTCAACCTAGATACGATAAACTCTTCTTATCGTCTTTTATTAGTTTACGAGTTTATATTTGCTTAATACATATTTAAAATTTATAAACTTGAAAAAATGATTAGTTTGTGATTTTAGGGTTTTCTATAATTTGAGAGATTTATTATATTAATTTTAAAAGTTGAATGATGAGAAATATTCTTTTGGAAAGAAGAATAATACATCAAAATTATTATTATCAGACGATTGTTGGAGGAGATTAAAATATTAAAATGTTAAATATTTTGATAGACTTTCATAAAATTTTAGTGAATTTCGAAGTAAATTAATCCAAGAATAAAAAAAGATAAATGAAATTCTTATATTTTAGTATCAACCTCGTCATAAATAATGATTAGTATCGACCAGATCGACTGTAACTAGAGATGACAATTTAACTTAAAATCAACGGTTTTCAGTCCGACCTGATTCGATAGAGTTGTATTTTTTTATAAAAAAGTTCAGGTTTAGGTCAGGCCGGGTCAGATTTTTTAAAGTGATGAGGTCGGGTCGTATTTGGGTGGAGAGTGAAAAAAATCGACCCAACCTGACTCGATCCAGAGATAATAATGTAATTTTTTTAGAAATTTATTACTTTTAATTAAATCCTTATTTTATACCGGATCAGGTCAGATAAACTTTATACTCTTAAAATTCGGGTCAGATTGGATTCGGGTGAAGAACATATATTTTTGGATCAGGTCGAATTGACCAAAAACCTGACCCAACTCGACCTGTTACGATCCCTAACTATGACAATCAAAGAAGTTAATAATTTTTTTAATAGAAAAACAGAAGAGAAACGATCATTTCATAACGCCGTTGATTATTTAACGGTCCAATAAAAAATATCGAAGTTTAATGGTAAAAGTAAATTGTTTTTAAAGTCTGATGACTACTGTTATAGTTTAACCTAATTAATGTTACGAAATTCATACGCTAACCGCTGTTCTTTTCAAAGCTCCAAATTTTCTTCCCTTTCGGTTCACATCTCTTCCACCCAACAATATTTTACTTCTTCAAATCATTCTCTCTAAGAAAAACACTCCATTTCTCTCTTTTATTGCAAGTTCTTCTCTCCAGAATTCATGTCGGTATGTGATCTTCACTGATTCCTTTAATTTTCTGTTTAAATTTGTTAAAACGAAGGTTTATATTCGTTGTTTGATTTGATTTTTTTGTGGATTTAAGCTTTTGTTTGTTTCCATTCATATCCTTCTGGGTTTCCACTCCTTTACAATTCTTAATTTTTTTTTTGCTGATCAAAGTTTCTTCATTTGGGCAAGTATTATCTTCATGATTGGAAATTTAACCTTGTCATTTTGTTATTCTTTTTTCTTTGATGAGTTTACTTGAAGATGGGTTTGAGATTTTTGTTTTGTTTAACTGATTAGCTACAAAACCATCTGAGCAATTTATTGTATAATAAGTTCATAATATGATTTATGGTTAATAAGTTTTTTTTTCCTTCTAGAGGGATAATTTAAATTGATTCAAATGGGTGATTGTTTTGGCATTGTTTTAGAATCTTGGTCCTGGTTGGAATTAGGATGGTTTACTTGATGTACCATTAATTGTGTGGAAATGTAGTTCCTGGTCATTGAAAAGTTAGGATTGTGATTGTTGTACAAGCCCATTAGTATACCCTCGGACCTCGGGCATAGGGTTATAAATAAGAAGAGACAGAGCGCGAGCTACTTGAGATAAATTCGGTCAAAACTCGATCAAGTTTTGAATTGAATGGACTCGTGCTCGAAATCGACTCGAATTATTAATGATTTGTAGCGGGCTACTTGATACCCGACTAAAATGCTCGTGAGCAGCTTGAAAAATAATATCATTAAATTTTTAGATATTTTAAATTAAATTATTAATAATATTAATATTTATACGTTGTTCTTGTTTTAGAAAATACAATATTAGGCTTTCATGCACTTAAGGTTCAGGTTCGAGCTCGAGTTGAGCTTCAATTTTTTATTTCGAGTTGATAATTTTAAGCTCGTGAGTTTTCGAGTGGAGTTCAGTTTTACATTTTTTGAGTCGAGTCGAGCTCAACAATTCTCAAACTCGACTTGTTTACAGCCCTACTTGGGCAAGCTCAAATGTTTCGCGGAAACCGGCATCGGATCACCACCTTGCACAAGATAAGATAGCTCAGTCTACCTAGCCTCCCTCCCTGCACAAGTTGGATGTATGACAGTGAACTAACACAACAGGCTCTAAGCCGGCCTAATCTCACTCTTGACCATACGCCAATTCACCTGCCTCGCGGCATTAGAGATGTAGGATATATAAGAAGACTCCCTCTCTCCCCTTAGGAGAAGGGAGCCGAGTCCGAATCGCTACTTCAAAAAGCAGCAAACCTACCTTCCCGTACATCAACAATGATAAATTTCTTTTGAGAACATTCCAAGAGTCGATATACTGAAGTTTGATATGTGAAGAAAATTAGATTTTTCTTAGGAGTGTGCAGAGGGCATGTGTTGTTACTTGTGTAGTATTTGCCTGAAGCAGATGAATCTTCTGTATCAATCTGTTCATATTCAATTGATCGGCAATGTTCCAAATCTTCCGAAGAACTCTACTGATTTGAGTAGCCGACTTTTAGAAGATCATATTGTTCCTTTCCTTCCATAGAAAATAGATGAAATCCCTCCAAACAATGTGCTAGATACTGATGATTGAAGCATTGCCGCGTATGTGGTTGATTGCCCATGATAATTCATCACCCCGATTGTGCACTCTTCATTTTATCCGGCAAAGTTCTAGCAACTTGCACCATTAGAATACCTTTGAGTAAAGAAGATACGGTCCTTTTGGTTCTTGTTCTAGATTGCAGAAGGGGCAGACCTCTTCAGTGATTATTCCCCATCGAAGAGGACGGTATTTGGTCGGAAGTTTACCAAGGATTGATAAAATATGTGCCATGTCATTGTCTGCTCTTGGTCTTAATAGCATTCCAAACTGTAGCAACCAGAGTTCTTTACGGGGTCTATCGCCATGTTTATTTTGACCGATGCGACGAATGCTTGAATTTTCATGACTCGATATTGTTTTGATTGCTAGTTTACATCGATTCAAGTTTGACTTTTTTGGAAGATTCATTTTCTTTATCATGTCATGATAAGCTTCTCCATTTGCCCAACAGGAGGAGAAGGGCCGCCCGTTGCCAAAATTTGGTGAATGGGACGTTAATGATCCTGCATCATCCGAGGGATTCACCGCGATCTTTAACAAGGCAAGGGACGAGAAGAAAACGGGTGGCAAACCCGAGTCACCAGAAAAGGCTGATCCTGCTGTTAAGTCTGGAGCGGATCCCAGCAAACCCCGACCTGTAAGTAATCTTCAACAACTTACCTTGCTCATAACATCTCGATGCACGCATTAGATGTTGATAACCAATTCTTTTGATGTTCCTTCGATGCACATTAGATTTCTCTCCTGATATGCTGTTTTTTTCTCCAGAAAAAATGGTTTTGCTGCATTCGAGCCCCGGCTGCAGAACCCTAATGGAATCCTGTCTGATTAGAGCTTCCACACGTATGTTATTATACTCCACCATATATTCTTAAACAGATAGGATCTACTGTATCTATATGTACTGATATGGTGGGTCATTATTAGAAGCAGAGTTGTTTCTTCTTGTTGTTTAACTTCTCTTTGTTATAAGCTGTAAAGCTTATTGTATGACATTTTCTTTCTTTAATAGAGTGATCAGCTATGTTGCTCGGTATCTTCGTTTTTATTGAAGTATTCGTGTTCGGACACTCGTATCCGGCACTTGGATATTGCAATATGACCTTCTAGGATCCCTTCAGTTGCATCAAAAACTCATAAAATAATCGCAAACGACACTCACATTCGAGTTCGAGTAATTCAAGAGCAAAATGAAAACATGAATGAGAACTCGAACTTTGCTGATGGATCTCATTGCCACTAGTCGAATTATTCAAGAGAAAATTGCGAAAAACATAAATGAGAATTGATCACCGGTCAGCAGATAGGATCGGGCCTAAGCTGCATCGGCATCTGCTCTTTCAGTCTCGTCTGGTCTGGTCCGGTCCACCGTTGCATACACAGCTGGATGTTTTTCCATGTTCTTATTCCCATCGCTTACTGATTGAACGCTTTCCGATCTAAATGATTTCCATTGCTTTCTTCACATACTTCCGACGCCGGGTCAGATTTACATCATTACTAGAATCCTAAATCCAAAAACATTTGCTTTCTTGCATAGATTGAGCTCAGCAACCCTCACTGTTAGGCTCTCTCATGCCGGCCAATGTGACGGAAGTGTCTCTAAACACGAAAAGGTTTTCTCGGTTCGCCTCGTCTTTCATCGTAAAATAAATTCTTTGTTTGATATAAATAGAACAACCCGGAGACTGTGGAGAAAGACAATGTGCAGTATAAGATAGTTTTACAGATTTGCATACAAGGTAGATGAAGAACTATGAATCAGTCCCTCAATGGTGGTCATTTCCATCTTCGCCTCTGAAAGTTCCGATAAAGGGTTTTGGCTTCCTGGTGGAGAGTTCTCCTCGCCTGTGCGAGCACACTATTTTTCACATTACCTGTTGGGATTATTCAAGCCACAACGAACATGGTACGATCATTCTCGAAGAAATAGCAATAGCATTTCAGATTCAAAGTCTCTAAGCATGATTTGTTTAGGTGCATCAACCGGGAGGCTACCATCAAGCATGAGCACTACATGAACCTGCATTATTGCCCAAGGGGAGTCCCTAGATATGCCATGGCGAAGATGTATTTTACAGTGCTTCGATCATTTGGGGTGTCGGAGGTTAACTAATAATGTTCACAAACTACAGCAACTACCTGCAGATGAACTGGTTCTTTCTGATTGGTTTGCTCGCCCCAGTTCCAGTCTGGTGGCTGTCGCTCAAATTCCTGGAGAAAAAAACGACCGGGTTAATACATATGCCGATTATCATCTGAGCTTCGCAAGCTATGCCATCGGCTAAAGCTGTTTAATATATTTGTTGGGTAGGTGTTGGGATCTTCTTTAACTGGTATGTTTACAATCAGTACAAAGAATGCCGGGCTAAACATGATTGCCTTCAGAGGTACGTTTCTTTATCGGCTCTTCAATCTGATGAAATCAATGGTCGAGATCAGTGGGGTCGTGATGCCACGGGCCATCGTCCATCGGCTCATTGTCTCAAGGCACCCGGGATCATGTCCGAAGGATGCCCTAGGTTATATTTGTATGATGAGTCGCCGCCACAGGAGCCATGCGATCCTTCGAGTTATGAAATTGTAAGAACGCTTTTCTTCCCCGTATCTTTCCTGTTCGTTTTATAATCTATGTTCGGCCTTTAATATAATCTAGATCGAATAAATTAAAAAATAAAATTTTAAAAAATAAAGATAAATAAAATCCCCAAAGCAATTCATATTCTTGGCATGTTCATGCTGTTATATAGTTGATATTTATATTAAAAAAAACTTCATTAAAACTAGGTCAGGCATGCGTACAATGGAAAGCATGTGGTCTACCAACTCTTCCCCCTCAATATATAGGCAAGCCTTTGGTTCATCACAGTTGATTCGCTTCATTTTCTCTACCTACTTACATACAACAACTATTTTAGTTAAGTTTCTCTTCGGATTTTCATCTTTCAATTATGGAAACTCGAAAAGAGAGTGAGATCGAGGACATACCAATGCCGTTGACGCCTCTGAGGATGGGGTCTATGCAGATTGCATGTAGCAACGGTTTCGGTCATAACATTGAGTTCGTATCACAGGCTTAACTTAGAAACCGGTATTCCGAGATCGATATCGAGGACTACACCATGTATGCTGATAAAGATCAGCCTCTCCCCATATTTCTTAAAGTAGTTTGATTTCCGGGTTTTCTTTGATTTGTTAGATGTTTAGTTTATCAGTATTAACTTTTGATATGGTCCCGGTTTCGTATATGAAGTTTGAAGACTTGGAAAACAAGGTTCGGAGTCACCAACCTGCCTCGATCAACCCGGTGAGAGCGGTGATGTCGAAGTTAGCTTCGCAACTGAACTTGGAACATGATAAGTACAAGGAGATCCTTAAAGGCGTAACGGGCAGCACCGGCCCGGTGAAATCCGTGCTTTGATGGGTCCTTCTGGTAGTGGCAAAACAACCTTGTTAAAGATAATAGGTGGAAGATTGACAGATAATGTTAAAGGAAACATAACGTACAACGACCTCCCTTACAGTCTGGCTCTTAAGCGAAGGTTAGGCCAGTTTTTATCAAAAGCTTTCTTCTTTTCTCCATCATTCAATTGATTTCGAGTGTTCTGTTTCCTTGCAGGATTGGATTCGTGACACAGGATGATATACTGCTGCCTCAACTAACGGTCGAAGAAACCTTAGTTTTTTCGGCATTTCTGAGACTTCCGAGTGACATGAGCCTGCAACAAAAGTACGCAAAGGTGGAGATGATTATGAAGGAGTTAGGCCTTGAAAGGTATGAACAAATATGAACCACATAGGGATTTACCTTGCACTCTTACCGTTGCGATAACCACAGATGTCGTCACACAAGAATACGGGGTGGATTGATAAAAGGGATATCCAGTGGAGAAAGGAAAAGAACTAGCATCGGTTATGAAATTCTCGTTGATCCATCATTGTACTTCCGGTCTCGATTCTACTTCAGCCAATAAACTTATTCATATTCTTCAAGAAGTTGCAAAGGTATCCTAGTTGACCAAAATATGTACAAAATGCAAACGGTTCCTATATAGAAAATGAGCCAAGATCTTGGTTGATGGTATGCAGGCAGGGCGAACTGTAATCACGAGGATTCACCAGCCGTCGAACCAAATGTTTCACATGTTCAATAAGGTTCTGCTGATATCAGAAGGCTACCCTATTTACTCCGGGAAGGCAAGAGATTGCATGGAGTACTTTTCGTCGCTCCGATTCATCCCGGAAATAGCAATGAATCCGGCGGAGTTCCTGCTCGATTTAGCAACAGGCCAAGTTCATGACATAACTCTTCCTGAAGATCCAGTGGCGTCTCAAGGAACGGCCGAGTCCGAGAAGGCTGTAATCAAAGTACAAACTCTTTTTGACAATGTAGAGGATATTTAATCCCTTTCTTTATATGATCATCTCCCTCTCAAAACATATTCTTCTTCACATTATATCAGTATCTTCAACTCAAGTACAAAACTCATTTGGAGCCAAAGGAAAAGGAAGAGAATCACAGAAGTTCCAAGGCGCCACAACACCTCCGGATGGCTATTCAAGTGAAGGACTGGACAATAACTTGGTGGGAGCAGTTCATGATAATAATGAAGAGAACGATTCGAGAGAGATGACGGGATTACTTTGATAAGCTGAGATTACTACAATCACTAGGAGTTGCAGTCTTGCTCGGCTTCTTTGGTGGAAATTGAGCGCCGCAACCGAGGCTCAACTGAGGGATCAAGTAAAGTTTCCCGAACTTCATTTTACAAATCTTTGACTCCCCAATGTCCCCATTACATCAAATGGATGACTTCTATTTTCAGATTGGTCTGCTGTTCTACATCTGCATCTTTTGGACGTCTACGTCAATTTCGGAGCGGTATACGTTTTCCCATTCGAAAAGGTCATCTGGTGAAAGAACGGAAAGCCGCCATGTACAGGTTAAGTGTATACTATGTTTGCAGCACTCTGTGTGACATGGTGGCACATGTTCTGTATCCCACATCATTCATGTTGATTGTCTACTTCATGGCTGGTTTCAAGAGAACAGTCGTTTGCTTCTTCCTCACGTTATTTACCATCTTATTGATAGCAATTATAAGCCAAGTAAGTCAAGCAATTTCCGATATACGACGTTCTTTGCTTTTAAGACCCAAATACTCTTCTCCGATTAATGCGATCTTCGACTTCGCATATGAACGAAAAACTAGGGAGTGGGGGGCTGCGGTTTTGAGCATTAAAAGGGTAGGGATGATGGCATCACTGGTGTTGATGTTGTTTCTTCTCACAGGAGGTTACTACGTCCAGGTACTTGAAACTATAATAGAAACTGCTTTCGATTCTTCATCGGATCCGATGAGTTCACTGAACAAAGTTGTTCCGTTTTGCAGCATATACCGAAATTCATGCAGTGGATGAAGTACTCATCGTTCATGTACTATGGCTTTAGGCTTCTGGTGAGGTGCAATACTCTGGGGACCAATTGTAAGAATGCCAAAGCCCGGGCGGCTGTCGGAATCTACAGGATTCGCCTTCGTCCGACACGGTTTACCTCGGCGGAGGCCTGAAGAAGTATGGATTCTACTCGCCATGGCACTCGGATACCGGTTGTGTGCTTACATTTGCCTGCGCAAGAGAATTAGTTCATGTACTATTTGAGCAGAATCTGCATCGCTGAGAAACATATGTAACAGAAAGACAGAAAAAAGCTCGAGGGGCTTTGCCTTTTCCTTTCCTGTTACCTTACGAATTCCATGCATGCAAACGCTTTTTAGTATAATGTTGTCATCAATTTTTTGTGGAGCTAATTGCACCACATGTCCTCAAAACATGACTTTATTTTAAATTGATTCCTAAACTTTTACATGTTCCAACTTAATCCCTAAATTATAACTTTCATCCTAAATTAATCATCAACATTTTAATTTATCCCTAAACCTTCATTTAAAACGATCACCAAACTTTTTGAATTTTTCAATTTCATCTCA